TGAGAGTTCCAGTTCAAAAAAATACTAAGCTTATTGGGAAAAGCAGTAAATATCACTGTTTTATGACGGGGGGGGGAGGGGGAAGAGCAGTAAATATCACTTTCCTCTTGAGCAAATTACTACCCCCGAAAGTAACATCCTTTCATGTAATAAAGTTAGGAATAGTTAGTCACAAAAACAAATTCAGCCCAGCCATAGCTGATCTAGAAGCAAAGTTCACGGAGTTCTAGCGGAAAAAATGTCCGGGGATGGTGTGCGTGTGAGCGAGACAGTCATGAAAAAGTTTGCTCGGCGGGGAATCGTAAACCTGATGACTATGCGAATATCCACACAACGAAAAATGGCTCATTCAACAAACAAGGCCCGGACTGATAGGAGGATTTTCGGCGTTTTGATAACCACTAGAACGTAGTATTGAACTTGCACATCCTAGTGAAACGTAATTCACCCTCTCCTCCCTGCCGACGCGAAACCGGCCGGAAAAACCATGGAAACCGATGTCTCGAAATGAACGAAAACAATTGATTCAAAGAGTACCGGGGAACTAATTACTTCAAAACAGGCCGTAAACCGGTATAGTGGGACTTCAACAAACTTCAGGCAAGTGTTTCGTGGGAGCAAGTCTGGCAATGACGGGACACCCGACACCCGTGGTAATGAAAGAAAATTGCTGAATATTGATGAGAATTTTGATGAATATGGAAAGTGCAGTGTACTTTATCAATTTATTCATAATTAATGTCCAGCCACTGGTGATTGATATATTTTTTGAATTTATAACAGCTGAATTCTAACTGTGTCTTTTCTAGCTCAATAGTATATTACACACTGTTTACATAGAGAATCTGGAGCTGGTGTAGCGGCAAGTGGTGCAGTAACACACACTCATGGTCTTGAGATCGTGTCCCGGATCAATACTAGCCTAGCCCAAGAAGGTCTTTCATTCGTTTGGGTCGACTGACTGGTACCAGGCTAATCTGGAGAATATAAATGTACTGACTTGTTTACCGGTTGGCCACCGCAAGTCATCGTATAGGGCTAATATTCATTCAATACGCCACAACGAATCTGAATGAAAGTCGAGTGCGTGGCGCCCTCCAAAAAGGGATTGGTTGGAGCATGAAGATTTCTTACTTTCCATAAGTTATATTTCGTCCAAATAAGAGTTGAACGTTTTAGAAACATGAGCAAGAAACCATTCAGGTGTTTTCTATCGTAAGTTCACACTAAGCCATACAGGACAGCAGCATCAGCATTCGGAAGTGAAGATGAGTTGGTATTCTGGCCTTAAAAAATAGGAGAACTGCGTTTGGCTGCTCAAGACAGGAATGGTGCTTTTGTTTTTGAATGGTAATATCGAGAATTTACAATTTGAAAATCTGGGATTTGAGTTGAGGAATAATACATAGAAAACTGGTAGTTCTGAATTGAAACATCACAAGGATTCGGAAGCCTGGATGCCCTAATTTTGACTAATTCACTTCTAATCTAATAGTTACGTGGGAAGAGTCGCTAACTGGTAATAGGAGACTTCTGGAAGAGTCACGAGAGTGTTCTGATGGAAGTGAGTGGAGCGACGACAAAGCAATTGACTGATATTGAAGGTAATAAAAGAAATTCGCAGTGAATCGATGGAACTCTCGAAAAATACATTGAGAAAAGTAGATTGCCCACACATTCCTAATCAATTGTGAGCGTTTTTTTATCTTTTTCATTAACGCTATTCCTCGAAAACTACAAAGTCACAAGCTTCAGCAAAGTTAACGTCATGTCTCGGCTATAATTCAATTTGTAGGAACATCCACAAAAAACGCTTGCACTACATGTTTGCAAGAGCTCAAGCTCTCCTACGGCTCCAAGAACTTCTGAAAAGTCGATCAGCTACTGGCTAGGAGGAACATAGACGACTAAAGAAGCTAATTTTCTTGGAAAAGTGATTTGTCTGCTTATATTGGATGCTGTGTTATCTTACTGATAACCGAATGAATCACCAAGTCGAAGTTCCACCTTTCAGTAATCGGCTGATAAGCTTCACTTCAGCGCTTTCGAACGCCACCTCATATAACTTTATTGATAGAAATGGCAAGATTGGCTTACGTGGGGTAATGGAGATTTGTCTCGTCATTATTAAGATTTTTAAACAAAGGTTAACTCATGCAGTTCTGTGGGGAAGATAGCATGGGAAAGAGAGTTGAGTAAACAAATACACTCGAACAACCACGGGTTCGGTTTTGTTTACGTAGTTATGCAAGTTACCTATTTGTTTTGGCGTTCGATTCTCTTTTGCGCACCCCCTCTGCCGAAAGAAACTGCATGTTCCATAAACAAACGAACAAACAAACAAACAAGTACAATACTTCTGCCATTCCGTCGCCGATGGATCAATGCGTCGCAAGCCATCGGTTGGGCACCAAAAAGGAGCAGCATTATAATGGTGTGCCAAACATCTGTCCCAGTCTGTTAATTG